ACTATAGTTGCCACGTAAGAGAGTGCAAATTCGGTGTTGGATTTGTCGTGGGAGAGAGACGCCGACGAAACGTCTGATAACGGACTGAGGCAAAAAATTTGCGCCCAACAACGCAAGAAAAGCTTAACGTCGAAATACCGCAATCACAAGAGACGGCCAATCTATGCGCCACTCGACTCCCACACTTGCTCTCTGAGAGCACTCTTCAACAAACTGATATACGCGAGCAGTGGAACCACATTTTCCGCTCATTAAGTACCGCCACCGAAGAAGTAGTCAGATTTCAGCAACTGGTACGATGAGGAGTGTCAAGAAGCTGCAGAGAAAAGACATCCGCCTACAATGCGATCGGGTGCAACGCGAGCCATGTGGGACCGTTATAGGGAACTGAAGATGGTAGCGAGACGTATTTGCAGCAACAAATTCTGGCAGACAGAAAAAAATCCCGAAAATTTATCAGAGAGTTAGGCGACTTACGGAAGTTTTCAATACTTTGACCGAATGTACTTAAGTTCGGAAGGGAACACTTTACCACCCTATGGAATGGCAGCAGCACTGAAAGTAGTGGAAAAGAAGAACCTGAGCCCCAGTTGATGAGAATGGAGTCGAAGTCCCACTGCCTGACTATGACAAGTTACGAATAGCGCTTACGCGGCTGAAAAACAACAGAGCTACTGGAGCTGACGGCCTGCCAGCCGAGCTATTCGAGTACGGCGGCGCACATAGGGGTATTTTCCCGACCTAGCCGGTCAAAATTACCTACTTAGTTTTTATTACTTCTTAAAACTCCTTATTTGACTTTGTGCCAATGAAATTTTTTCCAATGGACTTTTTTCCAAATGACTAAAATTTTTGGGTAAAAAAATGCAACAAAACTATTTTTTTTTTATTTATGACGACATTTATTTTCTCTGAAAATAGAGTTTTTGTACTTTTTAGCACTAAGATGATGATGAGTGCCATGGTTCTTTAACGTTCTAATCATTCTCGCCAGTTAGTACTGAAACAAAAGATTTTCACGATACGATAATGTGAAATTTAAAAATACGTTATCTATGTTTTCACTGTCTTGATTTCTAGTCTCTACTTCAAAAAGTGGCGGCAGTTAGCTGCTGATTTGATTTTGTAGTTTAATCTTTAACCTCTCATTTTAAATTAAAATTAAAGCCCGACAGAAACCGGAAGTAAATCAAAAACCTTTTCAAATCGTCGCCTGGGTAAAAGATTGTCGTAAGCGCAATTTTGACGATTTTTAGTTATAGATGCAGTTATATATTTTGAAATATGGTCTTTCGATTGGTGTTATCTGTTTTTAGCTATCTCCTTTAGTTTCCGAGATATTGACTACATTTTTTTCGAATGATTTAGTAAAAATTTAGTTAGTGATGCAGCCATATTAAACTAATCAATATCTTTAAAATGGCGTTCTCAATTTTTTGATATCTCCTTTAGTTTCCGAGATATTGAGTATAAAGTGTCGTTAATTTAGTAGAAATTTTGATCACATTTTGTCGTATTTCATACAATGTGGCTGCCAAATTGTGGACAAATGACGCTTACGACAAAATTTTACTAAAGAAAATCCTTCATAAACTCAAAACTAATTAACAATAAACATTAAACATTAAAAATTAAATAATTTAAGAATTTTGTGAACTAGTAACACTTCCAGAGACTTTGGAGAAATTCTATCCTCGCGTTTTTGAGAAATTGCATTCCAAACTTCAATCACGATTTCTCACAACCTTTCGGAATCAACATACGACAATCTTTTATCCAGGCGACGAAATGTAAAATTATGGTATACTACACACATACATATATGTATATTCAAATAATTTAAAACGACGTTTTCAAACGGTAGTGAAATATTTCAAAAGTATGTGTTCTTACCTGCTTGATCCAAATCTATAACAATAGTTTAAAGAAGCCATTGGGCCGTTTGCGTAAACCCAAGCAAAATGAGAACGATTTTTGGGAGAGTTGTGTAGAGAATGAATATGCAAGATTTTACCCGAACTTTTTCTTCTGGTAAAATCATGAAAAGTGTCAAGTGACGGCTGTTTGACGTTGTTACAAGAAAAATTCTTTTTTTTTTGCTCCCGTACGTTTTGTTGTTAGTCTNTCGCTGTGCGAGCTAGAAAGGTTAGAGGGATTGAGAAATGCTCTTCGGAATGTTCTCTATCGAATATGTGTGTGGCGATCTCGCCATCCGCGCCAACTACCGCGGGATCAGCGTTTTAACCATAGGGGTTACAAGGTGTTATCGAGTGCATTGTGTGAAAGACTGAAGCCCGCCGTCAACGAACTGATTGGACCTTATCAGCATGGCTGATGTCTGAATTTGCTACCCCGCGAAACTGACACGGCTGTGTAAAATGACGTTGAGCAATACCACTAGCTAGATGAAGCCTGTCCAAAACGGAACCGGTTAAAAACTAGTTGCAAAGTAATTCACTGGGGGTAGGGGGGGTTTCTGGGGTATTGGGCTGGAACTGGTACTGTCGGCAAGTTCCATGATGCTACAAGGTGTTATCGATTGGCAAATTCTCACTCTAATTCCGCCATATTTATTGCCTTAGGTGAAACAGTGTTACTTCTTTAACAATTCTTTGCCTAATAATATAGTTGAATGTTTTTTTATTTTTTGTCAGTATACACATTTTTGTTTTCTTAAAAAGGTATTTTATCTTATTTTATTTCATTTCATTACGAATATACTATAAAAAAAAAACAAATTTTGTTTAGGTGAAAATGTGAAATTTTATATTTTTCCTCCAAATGGGGATTAATTGTCTTCTCATTCTACTGGGCTAAGGCAGTGTCAAATGAAGCTTTCCCAACTTATACCACCTTGTATTATGGCATCATGGGCAAGTTCTGAGCTCGTCAGACTTTCTGCAGGGCTTCGTCACTGTCAAGGCGCACCTATACAAGATGGTGTTACCAGAACAGCTGATTTGATATTTTTGTCTCTACACTGGAATGTCATCCAAGACGAAACGGCATAACTTCAGGATGTCAATATAACTAAATGGCGAAAATTATCTCATATTTTCTTTCGTTTTGACATCCTGATGTACCAAAAAGCAATAACAAAATACACGGGATTTTTACTTATATTCAATGGCTACCACCTTATACGGATGCGCCTTGGTCACTGTCTTTGATTTTTCTACGACAGTGGATCGGACAGAAAATTGGACAATTCGGTCACGTCTTGGCTAAATTGGCAAAGGGGGGTCACTGATGATATCGTCACTAATGAGGAATTAGTGACATCGTCGCACTTGCTGTGAATCCTAAACGACATATGTATAGCTGACAACGACACTGGTGACAATGTCATGCAGGTGTACCCCTATCAAAGACTTCTAACAGACAATGTCTTGCAGCGGCACTTATAAAAAGCTCGTTGCATGACATTGTCGCTTGAATATCATCAATGATCACTGAATGACAAAGTCATGCAGAGGCCATCAACGACTAAACTACCATTTGTAGGAAAGTCATGAACGACTTCCATTTAAACGGAGCCTAAAGTCATTGAAGACTTATGGTCTGACTATGCATACTTCGCATAACTTCGCACAACTTCGCATAAACTGCAAACTTTAATTTCGTATGTACTTTATATGTATTCCATTACCCAGAAATAAGCAGAACTTTTGAAAACTTAGCGGTGTGTTGAGTTTAGATTTTGCTTCACATTTTCTTAAGTTATACTTTTAGGCACTGGTACAAATGGTTGTGCGAATTTATGCGAAGTATGCATAATCAGAACTTTAACGTAGCCGTACTAGATACTTAAGTGACGAATGCATGACATTCACAACGGGGAAGAACTTGAAAGCAAGTTGCAATACACAACAGCTGATCACAGTTAGTCTGTTCCCGTACTTTGGGATTTCGTCAAGAAATAGCCACTAAGATTTTACTGCAGGTATTACAAATATGTGTGCGAGAACGAGGCGAGAATTTTAAGTTGTTGCCTTGACGATGTAGAATTGTTTTGGCGATGACGTCATATTCACGTTACTCTCCCGAATTTCACATCAATCAGCGCAATCTTGTATACTATCGGCCGTGGCAAGGCTCGAACCCCCTTCAAACAGGTGAAGACGGCTGGTAAAATATCGCCAAACGAAGAGGCAAGATTTTGAAGCACGTGAAGACGGCCAGTTAACTTGCCAAATTTTTCGTAGGCCTTTATTTTCTAAAACAACGAGAATTTGCCCCGAAAGTGTCACGCATCATCTGCTACAAATGCAGATTCATTTAATCATGGACAATTGTCCAAACGTAATTTTTTATTGTTAGCGGTTTACTGCAACTCTGTGTTGACAGCGCCATTAAATTTCGTTAAAAAACTTACCGAATCGTTTAATTTGCACGACGAGCTTGATAGGTCGTTGCTTGTTCGTTAATTCTCGTTCGTTCGTTCTCACGCGTTTCTTCACATCGTTGTTTCTTTCATCGTGGTCTGCGAAAAGTGTGAAAAATATATTTTTCAGTGAATCTTCTGGCTTATAAATTATTGTAAAATTTTCAGCTCTAACTTAACCAAATACACAAGTTCCAAGTGAGCGATTTTTCGAATGTGTAAGTGGAAAATATGAATAAAAGTAAATGATAATTTCGCACTGATTGAAATGAATTAATGGCTAAAGTCGATTGTGATTGACAGCCACAACGTTAAAAACGACAGAGGGAAAATTCGGTTGGAATGTGCTTGAGAAAAAGAGAAAAATAGTAGTAAGCTAATAAGTCGTATGTGTGAGCGAGTGAGAAAGCAAGCTTTGGTGACAGAGAAAGAGTGGAAGTAACGTGCCGCAGGAGCAGCGCTGTCGTCGGAGGCGACTCGAGGCCATGAAAGCCAAAATTTTTTAGTTCAGTACGGACTGATTATAATAAAAAACTTTCGTTCTGAGAATTGTGCACTTTTTTTTATTATCAAATCATTTAAAAAGTAAGCGTGAAGTCATAGTCAAANTAGTACGGACTGATTATAATAAAAAACTTTCGTTCTGAGAATTGTGCACTTTTTTTATTATCAAATCATTTAAAAAGTAAGCGTGAAGTCATAGTCAAATACATTGATCTCAGGTGATCAATGCAATAAGGCGTACAATTTTTTTGACTTACGCTACTTGAGGGTATTTGTGTGAATCGAGTTGAATGCATGTGTATGTTAATGCATTGGAATCGTGGCTTCTGCAAACATATTTTTTAATCAAAAATAGTGGACTCCCGCTGTTGTAAGTGTCCTAACAATGTCAACGGAACACGATGCTAATCGCAACGTTGGGGGAAGGAACGAAATAACGCTGCAAACTATGAAAACTGACGGCAGCAATGATGACGATGACACCTTTGAGGATCTCGCGGGCTCAGCAGATAATGTGAGTACAGTACATACACCAAATACGATGAAATTTGTGTTTGTTCAAATATGTTTTTTCTTGTATTTATTCAAGTCTTTCCATGTACATGTTATTTGCATGGTAGCTTATTACTGTAGAGTTTTCTTTCAAATATAAAATTCCTTGACAAAATTTAGACTTATCACGTTCTAATAAAACAACAATGCTGTCACTGTCCTTTCAGTCTATTATAGGAAAAGTTAAATCACGAGTGTCTAGCATAATACCTAGCCGTTTTTCTAAATGGTTTTCACCATCGACACGAAATAATGATTCCTTAAATGGAAGCTTCACTGTAGGTACAGCACGCCGTCGTCGACGTTTAGAGAGCGATGACGATGATGAATATGTTGATGACGGTAATATTAACGAAGATGGAGCGCATTCCCTCGGCGGGTATAAAGAAAACTCGACAAGCGATAAAGTCAATAAGGATTCAGATGAAGACGAAAGCGACAACAATAGCGAAGACGGTTCGCCAAAAGATCCCAATCTGTCAACTCTGAGGACGCATCGCTCAAACAGGTCATCGGGGTTTTTTAATCAACCACCTAGTAAACGATCACGTATTAGTTACGATGTAAGGAATATAGTAGCCGCTATCTTTCTACATTGAATTATCTTTTTTTTTATTTAATTATATAGAGCTCAAACGTTAATCAACAGTCCTTAATAGCTTCTACTCCTGCGGTTGGCGTCTGTCGTCGAAACATCAATAGCCATTCAACTTCTTTAGTAGAAGATGCTATAAGTAAACCTCCAAATTCGTCCTCGTATTTTCTGGAGCCTAATACGTATAATCAAAAGAATGTGGATGAACCGGTAACATATGGCTTTATTTCAGGCCAAGTCACGGATGGCAAACCACAGGAAAACTATGCGAATAGGAAGATTTCTAATGAAAAACATTTGGATAACATTGCTATAAGGTATTTATTAGCCATCTTCTTTTTTACTTCAGACCATCCCTATATGGATAAAGTCTTACGCAAAAAAAATCTTGCCTTTAGAATTTTGTATTTTATTAAAAAATCATATTTATTATGAACCACACATCTTTGCTGGCCGCCTTCTACAAGCCTTCCTCATTTTCCTTCTGTAATGGGACACCAGCTTTCAAGACAACGCAAAACTTTAAAAAGTTCAGAAATATAATATGTGTATCAATCATGATAAAAATATAGTAAGGTAGAACCGCTGAGAGTTACTTTTAAAATTCTTGCCCTTTCCAAACAATTTAATTTTTAAATTTACTCACAGACTCACACACACATTTTCATTTTCAATCTCAAGCAACAACAATTTCGAACAATTTCAATTTTTTATTTTCAATTTTATATGATTTTAAAATGTTGGCAAACTTCAAAAAAAAAATCATGGCCGACGAATTGAGAGAACGGTTTTACCTTACCATGTTTTTATCATGGTATCAATAACATTAAGGTCAAAACTTTTCATTTCTAAAAAGCATGGAATTTATTGGCATCTTCCGAACAGGTCCCAATTACTGGTTAGGAAAATTTATTATTTTGAATTGATGGTAACGATATACGGAGCTCCATATTTTATTTTTTTAACCGACTTCGTAAAAAGGAGAAGGTTGTACCCCGTAGCGAATGTTATGCATTAGTCACTTAAGTGTCTTGTACGGAAAAGTTACGTCTTAAATGGCTTTGGGCTACGTTTACATGGAAGTCGTTCATGACTTTTTTATATAATTGGTAATTTCGTCGTTGATGTCTTTGATAGGAGTACACCTGCATGACATTGTCACCAGTGTTATTGGCAGCTATATGTCGTTTAGGATTCACAGCATGTCACCGGTGACCATTTTCGCTACTGGGTAAATTCGTCGGAATGTATTTTTATTTTTTTCTATGTATGCATGTATGTTACCGCATAACTTTGGACGACGTCAGTCGATGTCGGAAAGGTAGGGTTTCACAGGTGGTCCCATATTAATTTGATTTAGATCCGGTCATTGGATCATGAAAAAATTAACGGTACTCCTAAATTTGTATATGAGAATTGAAGTCGGTTGTGTTTTTTGCTTAAAAATACTTGTATACTGCATTTATTTTTTACAGTCCGTTATACATATATTGTAATGAAGATTTGTAACTAAAAATTAACACCCAAATTCAAAAAAAAATAAATAAGACTTTAACTGCTTTATAAATCGAAAATTTCTATGAAAATGTTACCTTATAAAGCTTTTAAAACCTTATTATTTATGAATAAAGCCATAAATTTAAATTTAAAAACACCCGGGTTCAAGCCCTGGCCAAAGCAACTTCGCAAAATAATATTGAAAAAAGGTTTTTTCTTAACAGCGGTCGTCCCTTGGCAAGCAATGGCAAACCTTCGAGTGTATTTCTGCCATGAAAAACAGCTTCTCGTAAAAATACAATCGCCGTTCGGAGTCGGCGTAAAACTGTAGGGGTCCCTCCGCTTTATGTGACAACATCAAGGCGCACGCCACAAATCGGAGGAGAAGCTCGGCCCAACACTAACAAATTTTAACCATTTGGTTTTGTTTCGCATGTTAAATTATGGGAACAGTTTATTCACACGGAATTAGTGATAGGGTTGAATATGTAACAACTAGTTCGAAATAATAGATTTCGATAGGAGTTTAGTTTTGGATATAATAAAAAGGGAACTTATAAGGACTAATTATTAAAAGTTATCAGTTTTATCAGAAATCGCACTCCATGTTGAATGTAGAGTAGAAGTGTATTTGATTTTTCTGTGGCCTTGTGGTTCATCAAAATTTTGAATTAATTTGGATAACCCTTTTTCACACGAAGTTTTGTTTTTAGTGTCTATAATTGAAAAACATTTAAACCTGATTTAGTTTTAAGAAAAGTGTCAAAAATTTATAAAGTTAAAATGTGTATGATTATATAGTAAACGGAATTCAGGTGAAAAATATCAATGGAATATTTTTTAAAAACGAATCAGCTCAGTAGCAAAAATTGGATTTATGCCTAAACCTTTATTGTGTACCGCTGCGTTCTTAATTAGAGGAGCATGTCTCAATTCCTGACCAAGAACTGTTACTTCACTATTTCCTGATATAATTTTCGGTTATATATCTGTAGTTTAGGGCTAATTGTCAATCATTCAACTATTTTTTATATTTTTTACTTTATAGCGCAAGACGTACGTTACATCTACCCTCAACGTCTCAGGCGTCTAAGGATCGTGCTCTGTCAATGGATTTTTCCACTTTTCAACGGCAATCAGTTGTGGGTAACAGAGATATAAATAATTTATCTGTGGAACACCCTTCAATGAGTGCTTCGGCAACCATTATTGAGGAAGAAGTCTATGAAAGAGATGAAGAAGAAGCTCTATTCAGCCAAGAGAGGAATCTTCAGCTAGATGAAAAATCGCGCTTCAACTTAAATGGAAATACTAAGCCATTTACATGTAGTAAAAAACAGAAATTTAATGGCACGGATGATGCCGAGGGTAGCAATGCAGATGCCGATTCTGTCTCCGAAAGTAGTGAAGGGTGCATAGGCAATATATCTGAATTACCCAACAACATAAATGTGGGACAACGTAAAACAGGTTTATTTAATATGTCTAATCTAAACTATCAAAATGGAAAAAAGAGTCGAACTTCGTCATTTGGAAATGGCATAAATTTTTATTCGCATTTAGAAGGGCGTAAATCCCTATTTTCTAGGGGGGCGAATACTGGTGATTCAACAAATGCCCTGAATAACTCAACATTATCACTGACATCGCTGAACAGACGTCAATTCAACGCTTCAATCTATGGCAGCACATCGGCGTTGAGTGACAGTAGATTGTTAAACACATTTTCGCCTTTCTACAAAGGGAAAACTACATATGGCGGTGCTGCGGCCTACAAAAAATATAGCGGTGCGACCGGGGCAAGCAGGATTTGCAATCTAACACCAACAATTATACGTCCCACATCGAGCTTATCGACACTCTCATCCTCAAATAACTCAATTGCCGCAAATAGCGGTGGAACAAACGCAATTGGCAACAATGGATCCGAAAACACTTCAGCTATTTCCAGTACTGCTAAGCGAATATTGGATTTAATAAATGATTTTGCTACTCCCTTGAGTGAAGCTAAGAAAATGGCCAACACAAACGTTAAAGCGCATACACAACTTCTAACCCAAGCTAAATCACGTTTAAACGAAAACGACCTTCAGGCCTCGCGTGCGATACGACTATCGCAAGTGCGTACACCCTACGCACGACCCGCCGTAACCCTTCAGCCAACAATCAGAAATTCAACTTTGCTACCACCTGTAAAAGAATTGCAAGTACCTTCAATGTCGCAGTTATTACAGATGAAAAAGATGCAAAGTACTACCGAACGATCCCGACAAATAGCTATGCAAAGTAGTTCACTTACCACGAGTGCTATTGTCGGAGGCGAGGAATATACACTACCCATGGCGAATGAAAATTATATAGCTAATAAGGATGATTCTGAAACTCGACACCAACAGCCGCACACAAATAAAATTAAAAGCAAAGGGCGAAGCTCTGCCCGTATTACTGCTTCAAAGAACCAAGCTACCAATCTTGAAGCTGGTGAGTCACCACCACCAGTTAACTTGCCCAATATAACATTTCCGCTTATGCAATCTGTGCCAAAATTTGACATAGCTATTCCTAACCCACGAACCGTTGCACCGAAAGCAATTAACAAGCCCGACTACTCAAACTCTGAAATCATGTCTAAATCAAAGTATGCTGGCGAAGGAATGCCGACCATCAGTAATAGTAACAGCAGTAACATTTTCGCCAACAAAACTTCGTTTAATTTTAATACAGACAGTCAAAAATTATCCACCTCTGAGCCCTTAAANGAACTATCAAAATGGAAAAAAGAGTCGAACTTCGTCATTTGGAAATGGCATAAATTTTTATTCGCATTTAGAAGGGCGCAAATCCCTATTTTCTAGGGGGGCGAATACTGGTGATTCAACAAATGCCCTAAATAACTCAACATTATCACTGACATCTCTGAACAGACGTCAATTCAACGCTTCAATCTATGGCAGCACATCGGCGTTGAGTGACAGTAGATTGTTAAACACATTTTCGCCTTTCTACAAAGGGAAAACTACATATGGCGGTGCTGCGGCCTACAAAAAATATAGCGGTGCGACCGGGGCAAGCAGGATTTGCAATCTAACACCAACAATTATACGTCCCACATCGAGCTTATCGACACTCTCATCCTCAAATAACTCAATTGCCGCAAATAGCGGTGGAACAAACGCAATTGGCAACAATGGATCCGAAAACACTTCAGCTATTTCCAGTACTGCTAAGCGAATATTGGATTTAATAAATGATTTTGCTACTCCCTTGAGTGAAGCTAAGAAAATGGCCAACACAAACGTTAAAGCGCATACACAACTTCTAACCCAAGCTAAATCACGTTTAAACGAAAACGACCTTCAGGCCTCGCGTGCGATACGACTATCGCAAGTGCGTACACCCTACGCACGACCCGCCGTAACCCTTCAGCCAACAATCAGAAATTCAACTTTACTACCACCTGTAAAAGAATTGCAAGTACCTTCAATGTCGCAGTTATTACAGATGAAAAAGATGCAAAGTACTACCGAACGATCCCGACAAATAGCTATGCAAAGTAGTTCACTTACCACGAGTGCTATTGTCGGAGGCGAGGAATATACACTACCCATGGCGAATGAAAATTATATAGCTAATAAGGATGATTCTGAAACTCGACACCAACAGCCGCACACAAATAAAATTAAAAGCAAAGGGCGAAGCTCTGCCCGTATTACTGCTTCAAAGAACCAAGCTACCAATCTTGAAGCTGGTGAGTCACCACCACCAGTTAACTTGCCCAATATAACATTTCCGCTTATGCAATCTGTGCCAAAATTTGACATAGCTATTCCTAACCCACGAACCGTTGCACCGAAAGCAATTAACAAGCCCGACTACTCAAACTCTGAAATCATGTCTAAATCAAAGTATGCTGGCGAAGGAATGCCGACCATCAGTAATAGTAACAGCAGTAACATTTTCGCCAACAAAACTTCGTTTAATTTTAATACAGACAGTCAAAAATTATCCACCTCTGAGCCCTTAAAGAACACTGCGGGCGGCAATTCGAATGAAACGAATAAGAAATCAGTCGCTACAGATAAATTGAATTTCAAGTTTTCTGCGCCACTTACTTTCGCATGCGTTAACCCTAATGCTTCTACACAACAAAATATCAATTTGAGTAAAAACTATAAATTTAGTCCACCCACTGCAGTGTGCTCTAGAGACTTAGATGTTGATGGCTCATCACCTACTCAACGTAAAGTACAAAGTGGTAACAATGTGACTCCGCAACTAAGAAGTGGAAGTGTTCTGGACGCACTAAAGTTACCCCTAGCCATACCATCAACACCGAAAGAAAATGCAACGACCAAAAAAGGCACTGAGGAACATGCTGGTTTTGGTGATGAATTTAAGAAGGCTTCTAGCAACAAATGGGAATGCCAAACATGTTTAATTCCCAATGAGAACAATGTAGATAAATGCGCCGCATGCGAGATGCCGCGCATTAAATCAGTACCCACACCGCAGACTGTAATCCCAGTTTTGGCAACAGCTATTGCCAGCGGCTCTTCAAACTTTGGCACACAGTTTAAAAAATCCTCCGATCAATGGGATTGTGATGTTTGTATGATACGAAATAAACAACAGGTTGATAAGTGTGTTGCCTGTGAGACACCACGTAAAGGCGCGACACCGTCTACCGATTTGGCGGAAAGTAATGGGAAGTCAAACTCATTCGGTGAGGCTTTTAAGCCGAAAGCCAACACGTGGGAGTGCCCCACTTGCCTTATAAATAACAAAAACGACTGCAACGAGTGCGTTGCTTGCCAGACGGAAAATCCAAAAAGCCGTAGCGACGGCAAAGGCAAGTGTCCAACAGTCATCACAAAAAATACACCATTTAAATTTGGTTTCAGCACTGTTGATAGCACGGCTTTATCAAAGCCAAATGCTCCACCTGACATTGGTTTCAAATCCCTGGCGGCAGCCCAAATGTCTGCCAAGTGGGAATGCGATGCATGTATGACACGCAATGACGCAGCACGCAACAAATGTGTCTGCTGTGAACAAGCAAAGCCAGGTATCACAACGCCAGACGTTCCTTCTAACGGGCCTAAGTTCACTTTTGGTACAGCCGCGTCATCAAAGTTCACATTTGGCTTCGGCTCCAGTGCGAATGGAACATCGTCTGCCGGATCGGGTATTGTGACGACCTCAGTAGCCCCATCGAATCAAAAGACTGAAGGAGGAAATACTAAAGGTTTAGAGTTTGACAGTTCTACCACTGTAATTGCGTCTTCGAGGGCTTCTGATTTTAGCTTTGGCATAAAAACAACACCTGTTTCTGTTGAAAAGGAAGTTACTAGCCAAGGCAGCCAAGGCAAAGATGTCGCAGATAATGGAAACAATTCTATAAAAGAACTGTCTGAAATAAAAACTAGTGCATTTAAATTTGGTACGCCCACAACTTCGGTTAGCAAAAATTTGGTTACAACTAAATCACCCGTAAATTTTAAGTTTGGCGTACCTGCCAGTGTTGGTGCGGCAACAACAGCTTCTACAGCGGCTACAGTTAAATTCAGTTTAGCTACTGCCGACGCTGTTGTTAAAGACGGTTCAACGAAATCAACAGAACCCACTAAAGCCGCGCCAAGCGGATCAACTACTACTGGAGGATTCGTATTTGGTAATGCAACATCGCAATCATCAACCAATAGTTTTTCATTCGCCAAACCAGCAAATACAACTTCTGTGGAAACAAAGACCACGTTAACAACACCATTTTCTTTTGGTGTGGCTACGTCCACACCAACTCCAGCTCAATCATCAACTACAACAACGTCGACCGCCACAGTTAAGCCATTGTTTAGTTTTGGCAGCAATACTACCTCGACCTCAGCAGCAACATCCACATCTGCGCCAGCTCCTACCACAATTACTAGCTCTTCGGTTTCGGCCTTTACAAACTGTGCAGGAGGCTTCAGTTTCGGTAGCAGCATCACAGGTAATGCCACAGCTTCTCAAACCGCCAAACCGGCTTTTGGTGGCAGCTTCGCCACAGTGGAGCCGTCTGCAGTTGCATCCGTGCCTGGTACAGCAATTCCCACATTATCAGCTTCGTCCACCAATGTTTTTGGCACATTAGGTGTAGCACCCTCTTCGGCTAAGACAACTACTACCTCAGCCATACCGATTTTAGCATCCACAGCAGCTGTTGCGCCACCAGCATCCAATGTAAATCCTTTTGGCACGATAAGCCACGGAGTCAGTGGCGAGTCCAAACCCACTGCGTCCGCCACTATGATTTTCGGAAATGCTGGCAGCAAAACGCCAGCCACTGCACAAGCTGCACCTGCGCCATTTGTTTTCGGTTCATCAGCATCCAATCCCACAATGCAAGGGACAGCGAGTACCACATCTGCAAGCGGTAACAAAGTTGCACCGACATCAAGCTGGCAAAAGAGTGGATTCACTTTCGGTGTGTCCAATGTTAACGCTACAACAACATCGAATACAACTGATGCGCCAAAACCTGTATTTGGCAGCTTCGGATCCAATCCTGAGGCACCTACTGCAACTGCTTCATCAGCTGCAACGGTTATGGGTGCTGGTAGTACGGTTTTTGGCGGCTTGAGCGCAAGCAACACAGCAACTATCCCGACCGCTACCTTTGGCAGTGTGGCAGCTAATACTTTAGCAGCCAGCCAAGGAACTGTGTTCGGCGCTAGCGCTGCGACATCCTCATCGGCCACACAGTCAACACAAAATCTTTTCGGTGCGGTGCCGGCAGCACCATCCGGTTTTGGTGCGCCACCATCGTTTGGAAGTGCCAGCAGCAGTGCGGCCAATAACACACCGAACTTTGGCGCTGCCAGTCCAGCTACGTTCGGAAGCTTCGGCGCGGCGGCATCGAGCACAAGTGGCGACGGTGCATCCGCACCGAAGAAATCCGAACCGGCCTTCAATTTTGGCGGCAATACTTCACAAATCGCATCAAGTGTAAGCTGTTTTAAACCTTTTAATTTCATGAACATTTAATATTTATTGCTTATATTATAGGGAGGATTCAATTTTGGGCAGCAAGCAAGCGCAATCGCAAAACCAGCGTTCAATTTCACCGCTTCAAATGCACCGACATTCAACTTCACCGGTTCGAGCAGTGATGTAAGTACGATAGCAAATTAGTGTTTGCCTCTTACATTGTTATGCATAGATGATTTGTAGTGTACATAAGAGGTGATTAGTGTTCTTTAAAGTACTAGTAGTATTTCTACTACTAACTACTACTATACATATGTATATGTAATGTGTGTGCGTGTGTGCATAGAAGTACTAACTATATATATGTTATTAATTTGTAGTCATACATTTATTATTAGTAGATAAATATTATCCTGTAGAAGTATTTTAATTATTCTTTATTCTTTTTTACTCCAATTCTGTATGTAATTCTTGCATTCTCTTTGAACTGTGATCTATGCGTTCATAATCGTCTGCTATAACGGATGTCTTCAAATTGAACTGTGTGAATGATTGTTGTGTGCTTTGTTGATTTAACTTGATATTTCGGACGATGCCATGAATAGCAGGCAGCGAAACCCTTCCAATTTGGAGCAACACCAGCGCCGCTTTTTAATTTTAGTGGTGGGGCCGTGGAGGTAAAGTAGCACATGAGTTTTGGTATATCTCACATTTTGATTAATATGTTTCATACTTTTGCTTCAAAAAAAAAAAAAAAAATTACTTGCAAACTACATATTTCACTATTTCATACCTACATTTCAGTCAAAGAAGAACATTGCTTCTGAATTCGTTTCTAGGCAGCATGGGTCAGTTGATTTTTATTACAGTAGAACTTCAAGCAGTTGTCATTAGGAAATAGACGAATAACAGAAATACGGATAACAGACTGCTACAAAAGAACATAAAGTAGAAATACATAGGAAGTTATGTATATTTTCTGGTAGGTATTTTCGAGTAAACCCAGAATCGAAAAATATGAAATTTGCCAAAAACCCCCCCAAAATGAGGATTTACCGTTAGAAACCGATTCTTCGTACCTTTGCGCACTTATAGGCCTGTGGCTTAGTATATTATGAACGTAGTTTCGGTTTATTGCCGGGTTTAAAAAGAAGAAACTTGGGCCTTTCGAACATTATATATATGCGAATAAAGAAACCTTAAGAGATCTGTGTGTATTTACCCAGCAAACACATTTTTTTTTTTACTTTTTTCACCTTTTTTCAATCTTGGTGAGGTTTTTACGCACTATTTTAAAGAAAATCATACTAAGTCCTAAATTGATTGTAAAACCAAATTTAATAGCGAAAAACTTGTGTTTATTTTCAGAAATCTTTTGAAAGTTTACTGAGTTATTAAACTTTTTATAAAAACGAAATTTTTGCAAACATATTATTTTGGACTATACTACTCAAAAATGTTTTCTTGACCGTTTGTTTTTTTTTTGTAATCTAGCATCATCAGTTTCTCCATGTAGAATATTCTGAAATTATTTTTATACCCAAGCGCACTTGTGCACAAGGGTATTATAACTTTGCTCACATAACGGTTGTTTGTAAGAGTCAAAACGAATCGAGATAGATATAGACAAATGTATACATAAATTATCATAATGAAATAATAAATCGATTAAGCGGTGACTGTCTGTGTACACGATAACACGAGTAAAAATTGAGATATCCAAACGACACTTGGTATGTGTTCCTCTTTTCAGCGTAGGACGAATGGTATGGAAAATGAGCAAAATCGGACAAAATTTTTACGCTCAATGGTAAGAATTGAGAGTTCTCAGTTGAGAGTTGTGGGATGTAGGCAAGTGCAAGAGACGCTGTGAAAATCTTTTTAAAGGTCGCCGGCAAAAGCTCAACACCTTTAAGTACAATAATAAAATTATAGTTTAAAAAACTAAAACCTTCCTATTATAATTGCCATTCGTACTGTCATCAGGTATGTAACTTGAGAATAGAAATCACTGCATCTTTTAGGCGCATCAATATTACATAGTTACATCCCGAGCTAATAAAGGGAAGGTAATAGATAGGATGCTAAGGATAAAACTCAATAGCATATCTTATGGCATCTTCATTCGCCACAGTTCTGGCAACAAACCAGTTGTACTTTAACACAGGGGTTCTCTATTTATGTGTTAGTGACAATCGAAAAGTTTTTTACGTGTATTGAAGTTTCGGGCATTCAAGTTTTGCAGGGATGTTATATGTGAACGATGCACAAAAAAGGTCCTAACGATATGTTTACGCAGATCACTTTAATTCGGCCCTGAAATTAGGACGTCAGGTCACTCTAAATGAAGGCAATGCACTTTCTTCCGATTTTTGAAAATAAACACTCGTTTTACTCGCTATTAACTTTAATTTTACAATCAATTTAAAACTAGTATGATTTTGGTTTATATTAAAGTCTGTTAAAACCTCACCAAAATTTAAAAAAGGCGAAAAAAAGTAAAAAAATTTATTAATTTTATGAGTAAATACACACAGATCTCTTAAGGTTTCTTTATTCATATATCGTTCGAAAGGCTCAAGTTTCTTCTTTTTAAATCCGTCTATAAACCGAAACTCGGTTCATAATGAACTAAGCTACAGGATTATAAGTGCAGTACGAAAACCCGGTTTTTAACGTTAACTCAAGATTTTGGGGGTGTTGGGCAAATTTCCTATTTCGATTCTTGTTTTACTTGGAAAAGACCTACCAGAAAATATTCAAACCTCCCAGGTATTTTGTAGTGTCGCACAGTGTAATCTAAGTTCCACCGCAAAAACTGTTAATTTTTAAATGTTCGTTTTGCTTGTATCACTTGTTTTCAACATTAATAAAAGGCAATTATTAGTTCTTTATAATCAATCATTTAACTAAGATGAGAGCCATATGCTAACACATTAAACGTTGTTCATCCGCATTCTAAGAAAATTCGTAGACAATTTGGGTTTAATGCAAATTAATTAGGTGTTAAATCAAAAGAAAAAGCGAACATTCCGATGCGTTATTATATCTAGGTATCGCAAATAATAATTATTTACAAAAAATCATACTAGAGGTATTCTCGAAGTCTTGCACGTTGCTCGGATTGCATGAAATGCAAAAATACTACCCCCAAAATTGCATTTGGTAGCAAGCAGCGAAATGCTGTATCAAATATGTAAAATAAGATCCCGCCAAAAAAAAAATCCAGTGATCGAAATGAGGAGAATGAGTGAAATGTGTAGCAATTCCAACAACAAAACAGGGTCGCATTTATCTTGCTATGCTTTTTTGCAAAATATGTGCATGGGTTTAGACGTTGTCGTTGCATACTTTACAGCGATGGGAAATGTTGTTTACCATGTATATTTTGTTGTTGTGTTTGCAAGTTTTGTAATTGCAATCTGTCTGTGCTACGTGCAACGGCTTTGCAAGATTTCGAAAATACCTCTACGAAAAAATTAATGCGGCTTACATAAGTTGTACACCACCAACCACCAATCAGTGTTGCTCGGGCTACCTTTAGCTGGACTTATTCGTGTATACCTTTCATAAAGATGAAGGTGAAATGGTATTATAACTTTGGTCTGGTGTGTAACTACAAAACTAATAAGTGATAAAAAGCCATATAAAAATTTTCAGAACGACGAACTTATTTTTGATTGCATGGAACGGATGGGAATGGACAAACAAAACTCGGGTATGTTTTTAAGTCGATATGGGCAAATTGGATTTACTTCTGTACAAACCCAATCTGGTAGGGCTTACCACGATACAATGCAAATAAAATAGAAATATAATGTTGAAAATGTTACTGTATTACCACAATGGCCTTTAATTACTAGCTTTTATTTAGTTTCATCTGTCCCGGTATCTGTAATCAAGTCTTGCAATAAATTTTTAACCAACTTTCCGGTGAGATGGAGACGAAACTTCAAACGTTGCCCAGAACCCGATGAGAGTGCAATATGAAGAATGCATTAATCCGCTAAGTAACGCTGTAGTCGAGATATTTGGAAAACCATATTCAGAACGTACATATATTACTTACATGAAAATCCCACAAAAAATGTTTGTTTGTAGGGGGGGCTGGCGTCGAAGCATTTCGAAAAAATTATGTTATAAAATAGTCAAGGCTTTTGTTACTAAAACATAAATGCAAATGGTAAATATAATTACTGAAGAGAACACTCGCATTAAGCTTTTTTTTTTAACTTAATAAAAGCCTTGGCTTATTTCATTTACTTTGGAGCGCATGCATGCTAAATAAAAGTTTATTTTACATTATTTTATTTACTCCAATAATTAGTTCACATCTTGTATGAAAGACTACAGCTATTTTTCTTAAGTTCTGAATGTGGCATCAGTTAAAACAACCTATCTTCAACAATATTGATATGTGTAGCATTGTATGAGAAATTATTTTATTAAAACAACTTAATTAGAGTTTTTTGAGTTATTCAATTTATTTAAAAATCCTAACTTCACTTTGGGCCGATTTCATAATAAGATTATAGAATACTTTAAAATTTACAATTTATTTGGCTGATCGATTTCATAAAGCCACTTTAAAGTTAAAGGTGCCCATAAAGACTCTTTAGTTAAATACCCAAAATGGAAATTTAATTGACATAAAGGTCCCTTTGGTAAGAAAAAATAGTATGTCATTTTCGTAGCGTAATTACATATGTATTTATGACAATCAGCTAATGCAATTTTGCCGAGAACAGCAATGCCAACTTTGTTATTTTCATTTAAATGAACCTTTTGTTATATTATTCAATTGCCATTGTATTAAAGTACATTTAAATTACAATTTAACTAAAAGGAAACTTTTGTAAAAGGACCTTATAAGTGGTTCATTATGAAATTGGACCTTGGGTTTTTTTTTTTTTTTGCTAAGCTTAATTAATTTTTTCGACCAAATTCATCAAGTAACCAAATGGTTTTTTTTTGGCCGCCAACGATTTTCTAATTTTTCCCACTCACAAATACCCTGATTATAGAAGGTTTTAGCCAGTATTTACCTATTATAAAATCCGTATTAACCCAATAGTCGCGATTTAAAGAAAAAATCTATTTTTCTTCATTCATTCAAATTTTGAGTTAGGCTACTTTAATTGAACGGCACAGATACATACTGTTACGCCCAAAATTGAGCGTACGGCTCTTTTTCTTAATTTTTGTACACAGTATCATTCGTGGATTTACATGGAGTTTGCCAAAAAATAAGCCATATTTTAATACAAAATTAACATGTAAAGCATTGCGACTATTAGCAAAAAAGAGCCGTACGCTCAATTTTGGGAGTAACTGTATTTACACATACATACATATACGTACATGCTCAAAATATTCATAAAACGCATTCAAAGCTCGTCATTGAATTAGAAACTGCTTGACTAAATAGTTTATATTTTGCTTATTTGGACTGTTCTGGTTTTAGTTTTTATTGGCATGCAGCACGACATTTTTCTGATTTTTAAAACTTAATATGCATTTAACACCAATTTCATGTGGTCAAGTGTCAAGAGCAATGTTAACATTAGTTGCGTTCCAGATGCTTCACGATATTCACGATTTGTAGGAACAGCTGTTTTCTCCATTAATAAACCTTATGGAAGGTGGTCACCTGGAACGACTTCCTGTAAAAACCTGCAAATCGTGAAGCATCTGGAACGCAACTATTATCAACTGATATCCGTAGAAATTATTTAAAATATTACGTTTAGTGTCAATATCGCATAAATTGAGTTTCGTAAAGGCGGTGAACATGGAACACACCTAGTATTGTAAATAATCATGCATAAATTCTCATTAATTTTTTCTCATTTATCTAATGCAAATAACATTGTATGGGCGCTAAAACATAATGAAAAAACGCCGAGACAGGTAAACTTGATTTTGGGTCGTAGATTACGGATATAGGTGTTTCTATATCACGACAGAGATACATAGTTTCATTTTAAATTCAAACGGACAAAATTTAAAAACAACAGGGTTTTTGTAAATTTTTTTCTTTTACAAAAAAAAAAAAGCTGCCAACAAAGAAAATCAATGGTTAAATAAAGTTGTGAATGATCAAATAAAATGCGCAATCATTTTTTGCATGAAATATATATGTATAAGAAGGAAAGAACGTTTGAAATTTTTCCCTTTAATAATGCAAATTGACTTGGGAAAATTACCTGATCTAGAGAAAAACGATATACATATGCGTAATCTATGACCCAAAATTAAGTTCACATGTTTCGATTTTCCCTACAGACTCACATACTATGTTACGTCATATTCATCATTCCTAACAGCTGGTTTTTTTTTGGTCTTTTCATTAGAACACGTCCATAAAAACATTCGTGGTACTATTAGTTTTTTTTTTCAAAATTATTATTTTTTTTTATAGGAGTATGTAAGTGAAAATGTAAAAAATAAGTAAGTAAAAATAGATTTGACTTTTTTTTGCAGGCCACTCCGAATGCACCTTTCCAATTTAATGCAGGTACTGCACCTGTCTCAAGCAATATATTTGCGTAAGTATAGCAGTGAAACTGTTTTCGAAAAAAACAAATGAAATGATTAGAAAAGAAAAATGTTAACTGCTGCTTCAGGAAAGAAAGTGTTTGTACGGCATTAAAAATTCAATCTTGCTATGTAACATTTATGTAGCTACATACATACATACATACATACATACTTGCATCCACTAACTATTTACTAATTTTGTTTTGTTTCGTGCATTTGAAATCATTGTGTGATGGCGAAGTTTTGTTCTTGCATTGATTTGTGCTTTTTTGTCGATTGTCTGTGTGTAATTAATTTGAAATCTTTTTTTGTTTTAATTTGTTCAAATCATACATACACTACTATCTATCACTCGTGTAAGTCTTCATTAAAAGTGTAAATATACATATCTCATACTTAAAATACTTAAAAAGTATAGTTTTTCTTCCATCAAAAATACACATTCCAAATCAATGCTTTCCAACAAAAACAATTTGGAAAAGAGCTAAAATCCTTGAGCAGAAGTTGAACATTCTCGTTTTTAAAATCAAGATGATAGTTTATAAAACAAAATACGTTGTTTTCAATTTTTAAATCAACAGGCCAACACCATCAGCGCCAAACGCACCGGGTGCCATGCAGGCACGACGAAAGATCCGGCAACCGACAAGACGTCTTACACCACGGTAGAGCAATTTATAGCAGCGGACGCCTCTAAAGGCGTGGACCAACAACAAACTAAACTGACGGGACAACTACAATGGTCAAGACAGAGGAACATCAAAGACAACAATAACAGCAACATTAAAATTCCCACTAGCGCGTGGAACGACGATTGTCACGCAGCAAAATTAAACTACGATGACAGTGGAAACAGCAGCAGCAATAGCAAAGCCCAAAACGAATTAGGAAAATCGCTATTAAATAGTGGAACAAGAGCGGCTAGTGGCCACAAAGATAACCGTGGCTACAACCCGGCCATAAAATCTCAAGTGACTCCAAACAAATATAAATACATACGTATGCCGAACAGCACCGGCACTCAAAATACTTACAATACTGCAATATTCGCTAGAAAAAGCAACACAATTTCAGAGAAACCTAAAATATTGTGTAAAAGTGGCAGTATGAATGAAATTTCCGTTCATCAGAAGTCTGGAATGCGATTAGTTAAACGTAGTATTCGCATTCGGCAGAAATTTAATAAAGGTAAAGCGGAATGTGAAGTACCACAAAGCTCAAGCGTTGAAATGCAAGCTCTGGTCACACCAAATCTATATCGCAAAGTTAATTTAAAAAATGGTAAATCGGTGGCAATAACGACCCAAAAGCCTCGTCATACCACGTTGCAGTTGCCATCACAATCGCCATCGGAAGGAATTAGTCAGTATCGTTTGGAGCGTAGCCAGCAAGACAACACAGAGCTGAATCCATTGCATAGTCATTTAGTTGAATCCTTGGCAAAGAAAACTGAGCATTCAATAGATAGTCGAAAAGCGCGCTACTCCTTTGTTATCACCACGGCCAATAGAGCCACTATTGCTACAGATGATGCTATTGACTATGTTCCCAGTCCGACTGTGGCCACAAGAGCTGTTTCGCACAAATGATAATGCGGTCCCGGATGCGAAGTAATTTTGTTACCAACTATTAAAAACATAATTTTCAAAGTGCGGGTATATGACAGAAGTAACGTGACAGGTTCCATTATTATTGATTTCTACGGGTTAATTTAACCAATTTACTATTTTTAAGAGCTCTACTATTGTATAAAAAAAAGAATTAAAAAACAAAAGATATAACAGATAATAACGAGGTTATAATAGGTAAAAGAAGAAATTAGAAAATAAAGAACATCAGAATCAAGAGAAAATGAATTTTGCAACGCAATTACATTAATGTAAAGAACTTGTATACTCCTACTGCACAATTAGCAAGAAGGAAAAAGGAGGGACTAAATCCCGGGAGGGTGATGAATACAATTCGGTGATGTCGAAAGTAATACGTTAAACATGCTTTACAAGATTTTAAACGTACATTTTGATAATAAACACTTTTTAATTCACAGGCCCTGAGAGGTATAAAAAAAAACTATTGCATCCTAAATCCTGTGCTTATTTTAATCTTGTTTAAAAAAAAATAAAAAATTACGTATTCGTCCCCGATATTAAAATAAAGGATAAGAACGAACCCCTTTCTACATTTAAAACTGAAAATATTTCTCACAACGACTATTTACATGCATTATATTTTGTTATATTTTTTAAGAAAAATATTCGTTCCATCATTAATAGTGTTAACAAAATTATAAATCGTAGTTTAATTGAATTATTTCAACTTTGTTTTGTACTAGAAGTCAACATTAATCCACGGAAAACCGCTGAGGTTTCACAATTATACAATAAATTGCTGTACATACATACATATAGTATTTGTTAGATATATTTTTTTAATTGGCCTCATTTTTATAGGAATCGGGCATGGAGTTTCAATCGACTACTCACAGCGTTATACATACAACGTAAATAACTAATTATCTTATCTTGTTTGCAGTTAAGCCTCTAAAAAAAACTTACTTAAACCACAGCTGAAAATGGCATTTTTTTAGTGGTTTCTAAATATTTTTACTTATCATCCGGATTGATTAACTGTGTGAATCGTTGCGCTATCGTATCGAGAGTCAAAATTTTTGAATACATTTCAAGATTACAGAAATTAATAAAAAATAATCTGGAGAAATCTGACATTCGCTGTTTGCTTTTCAGAAAATTAATGCATATATTTTATATTTATAGACTTTTATTCATGTACAAGGTGGCGAAAAATTAATCTAATTTTGTTTTTCAATAACTTTTACTAAGGCGGAATTTCTTTATTTATTCTGGACGTTTGGAAAAACTTTTTGTTTATATTAGAAACGCAGCCTTAATAAACAAAAATCTGGAAATTTTTGTTTGGACCTTCCGTATCGTCTACAAACAAGTCAAGTAGTTGTAGAAGAATGAACGACTAAAAACTGTTCGCAGTCGTTTATTGAACGGGAAATCGACATTCCGAATACCATGGAAAAGCGATAATCGAATAATAGTCGTTTATCTACCACTAGTCGACACTCGCATTAATGGTGTAGGTGTATTCGTATGAAGTAAGTTACATGAACAAGCTGACGGTGACGGTGCCGCATAAATTAGGTCAACTCTCAACTTTGCTTACGCGATCGCGTCAAATGACAAGTGTTCAGTGCTTTGTTTACATGTTTGAACGTAAATTTTTCAATGAAAATCTTAATATTTATGGAAAAACGAAATGTAAAAAATAATGCAGGAAGCCCTAATAGAAGTGAAAAAGTAAAATGTATATTTTGCGGCATAAATGTAGAATACCTACAATTATCAAATTAAAAAAAATCATATTGGGATCGATGGAGATCATTGAGGTGAGCGTAACGATATATATATTTTTTTTTGGGAAACAACAACTACAACAATTATTAAAGGTCAAAGTTCAAATTAAGCATTTTTTTAAATTAATATTTCTCGAAAACCTCTTGAAGGATTTGGAAAATTTTGATGTCATTTGATAGAGAATTTAATTCTCTTTAATTTGATATACAGTATCGGTCATATCTAAGTGATATTGTGTGCCACTTATGTTTATTTATTTATTTTTAGACAAATCCCATATAAACCCAAGATTAATAATTTGTAGAAAACTACAAAAAAGTGCAACAAATTTGCGCCTAAATTTCAAACTTTTTTCTCGGAGTACATAGTTTTTTAGCTCCTATTTTAGTACGATAATGTGCAAATTTCAAGTAGCTACGAATTACAGTTAATTTTTGAGAATTTGTTTTGTCGCATTGGCTTCCATATAATGAATAAACTCAATTTATTCGTATATGGAAGAAATCCGCAACACCTTGATCGATCGATAGTGGCTCTGGGTAGTATCGGAAATTGTCGGTAGTGTAATCTATCGATAGTTTTCCAACTCTATCCCCGAGGAATACTTTTCCAACATGAACCAAAAAGACAAGATCACGCGGGCTGGAGACTAGCCCGTTAGAATCGCATTTAGGAAAAAAGTTGGGCGACTTTGACATTAGCCGTTTATTTACATTTCTTCGTTGTTTACAATTTGGTGGTGGCTTTTTACTGCAATTTTCTTCATTTTCGCTTGTGACAACGTGTGTACACATAAGATAAAGAATAATTTAACACAACGGCATGATTTATAGAAGAATTTGCATAATAAAAATGATTTTTCATGCGTTCAACAATTTCGCGGTTTTCTCCGTTCTCTTCGTTGTTTACTTCTTACAACAAAGATGGCGTCGAGATTTCGGCAGCTAGAAAATAACTTTTTTCGTTCTTTCCTTCCCGCGTGATCTTGTGTCTTTCGTTCATGACTTTTCCAAGGCGTATTCAACAATACAATTTAATACACCTTGACTTTTGGGTTGTTTGCAGCGTTTTCGTTTAGCGCGCACGGCAACACTTACTGCGAAGAATTTCGTCTCATGATTAGAAAAATATTTTGAGGATAATAAATTATACAGAGACCCAAAATAATTATTATTCTAATATTTGAGATCAAAAACGTCGCCTTGTTTTAAGGGAAATTTTTTTTTTGTATAATAATTATTCACGGAAAGTATCTTTTCTCGTCTCGCGGGACGATTATTTTCAGATAGAAATTATTCACGTCTATCATAATAATTTTATGGGTTTCGTCTCTCGGGACGTTTATTTCAAGACGAAAATTATTTACGTCTTCTCATAATAATTATGTGGGTCTTTTATTTTTTTCCCGTCTCGTGAGGAAATCAAAACATTACAAAAATTTATGGCATCCAGAGTTCATCAAAGGAAATCGGTTCGCGTGATAAAGAGATGAAACAGTGCAATTTGTATAATAATGTTGTAACTTAAATATTAATTAAAAATCCTATTTACATTATAGCTACGCCACTGTTTGTGTGAATACCCCCATTTTTAATTTGTCCCATTTCTTATTTTATTCACTTGGGGTGTTCACAGTTCGTTCCAAATAGTGTCTGAAAATGTAGACGTCTACATTTTGAGACATCTTTAGCATCAAACTGTGAGCACCCCTTTCTAGCAGTCGTCGCAAAATCGTCTCAAAACTTTGCTGGTGTTGCCAGACATTTCCTCTTTGCGTGCATTTTTTATATATCGCCTTTCGATTTTGTTTCTGAAAAATTGTAATTATTTAACTTAATTACCAATTCCTAATATTTGTTATTTCTTTTCCTTGATTTGTTTCTTTTCATCAGAAATTGCGCTCAAATTAAATGCAAATACAGAAAACGTGCCCAATAAATAAAAAAAATGTGATTAGTATTGCCATAATGCAACCCTGCTGCGAGGTTGCAAAATGTAGACGCGTAAAAAACATACCTTTGAGTGTGACAAAATGTAGACGGCGTCGTTTTCCAATTTTGTATGGGAAACAACAACGCCACAGATTTTACGGTTAGAAAACGTCTTAAAATGTAGACGTCTACATTTTGAGACACTATTTGGAACGAACTGTGAACACCCCAACTATTTGGAACGAACTGTGAACACCCCAGCTGTTTTAGCGAACATTTGCGGACTTGATTTTGACGTTACAAATTACGGGAGGATGGTAGCACTATGAGCAGTGTTGCTTTTCTTTCGAAAGTAAAATTTCCCAGTACAAATAACATTTTAACTGCAACAATTTTGAATATAAACTTCCAAGGATTGTAATACTTTCTAAATAAGAACTTAATTTGAAAGTAAATAAATAATAACTTAGATTAAACCTCTTATTTGAATGGTTGTTTAGTATTCAGCAGTGTTATCAAATCACATGAGATAGGTGAAAATACACCACCCAAGCGGATTGTCAAACATACTTCAAATCTACTTTTCCCATTTCGAAATTCGAGCTCCCTTATTTTCATTTTGACGCAGTTCAATGTTGATCCACTTCATTTTTATAATTGTACAAAACAAAAGAAACACGTTTGAAATGAAGTGGTGGTTTGTCATGATCATTGTTTAGGTCACTGTATGTTTCTGGTTTTGTTTAGTGGGATTTAGATTTTTTCTAGCGATTTTTTACACGAAAGAGTTGGCAGCACTGCTCTTAAACGTTAAAAGCAACACTTCCATTTTGGTTGTTTGTGTGTATCGCGTGAGGAGCATTGACTCATTCGCCATTTTTATTTTTTCCATTTGTCGTTTTTGGGTGTTGCTGCAGACGGAAATATAAAAATCATCAAAATGGTGAGATAAATTCTAAATTTTATAAAAAGTTAAATAAGAAATGGTTTTTATTGCACCAAGGGCCAATATGAGCTGAATATATTTGGTTCGCCGAATGTGCTCTAGAACAAAACCTTGTAAATAATGCCGGGTGTTTTAGCAGATGCATCACGGATGCTTAATGCATGAGGCACATTATTGTGTCCAATAAAAACACGTGTTGTGCGTGATGTCCATGTTAACTTTAAATCCTTAAAATGTATTTATGTATATTATTTTTTATACTATTTAAGCATTTTATAAAATATTTGGTCTATAAAAGAAAGTTCTGGAAATATGATACAAATATCTAATTGCTCGGAACAATCGACTGACCCTAAAAATATATATGTAAATATGTTAATACGTATAAAATTTGCAGAGATATGCTTTCCCTTATTAAATTTAATTTTCTGTATCCACCAACATGCTAAAAAAGTAAGGTTAACTTGAAATTCTTTTTTCTTCCACACCCACAAAATGTCCCGTAGAAACAATTTTAATTACAGTATATTTCCTTACAGGAGATGTCATTGAATCCAGTGCGTGTGCTGAAGAGCGAGGCTCAAGAGGAGAAAGCTGAAATGGCCCGCCTGTCGTCATTTATAGGTGCCATTGCCATTGGCGATCTCGTTAAAAGCACTTTGGGGCCAAAGGGTATGGACAAAATCCTAGTAGCTCATGGCCGTAATGCTGGTCAAGTTGAAGTAACAAACGACGGCGCAACCATTTTACGAGCGGTGGGTGTAGACAATCCCGCCGCCAAAATATTGGTAGACATGTCGCGTGTTCAAGATGAAGAAGTTGGAGATGGTACTACTTCAGTGACAGTGTTAGCGGCAGAACTTTTACGAGAAGCTGAGAAATTGGTTGAACAAAAACTACACCCTCAAATTATCATAGCTGGCTGGCGTTTAGCTACTGAGGTGGCACGAGAAGCACTTATAAAAGCTTCCCAGGACAATTCTGCAAATGATGTAAAATTTAAGGAAGATTTGCTGAACATTGCCAGAACAACATTGTCGTCGAAAATTTTGCATCAACACAAAGAATTTTTTTCAAAACTAGCTGTGGACGCTGTTTTGCGACTTAAAGGCTCAGGAGAACTGCATGCAATTCAAATAATCAAAAAGACTGGTGGTACATTGGATGACTCATTCTTAGATGAAGGTTTTCTATTAGACAAGAAGCCAGGCGTGCATCAACCTCAGCGAGTAAGTGTAACTTTTAGATATTCTATATGCGTTAAAAACAAGACTTCCATAAAGAAGGTTCTGTATCAATCCGTCGAGATGGTTGTGAACTATGTAACATACGAAAGCCATATCACAGCCATTTTGACGAGTTTGATGCTGTAACTATATCATCAATCATACGACCTCTTCATTTACGTAACGCAGTAATGTTTTAAGGTATTTGTAACACGTTTGCATTAATGGAAACTGTTTCAATTTTAAATCTCAGATTGAAAAAGCGAAAATTCTTATTGCGAATACACCAATGGATACTGACAAGATCAAAGTATTCGGAAGTACAATCAAGGTTGATTCTTTAGCAAAGATTGCCGATCTGGAACTAGCAGAAAAGGAGAAAATGAAAGATAAGGTTCAAAAAATACTTAACCACAATTGTAATGTCTTCATCAACCGCCAACTTATTTACAATTATCCTGAGCAATTATTCGCGGACGCTGGTGTTATGGCCATTGAACATGCCGACTTCGATGGAATCGAACGTTTAGCACTAGTTACAGGTGGTGAAATCGTTTCGACTTTCGACAACCCATCTTTGGTCAAATTGGGCGAATGTGACGTCATCGAGCAAGTGATGATTGGCGAAGACACACTTTTACGTTTCAGTGGCGTAAAATTAGGTGAAGCCTGCACAGTTGTGATACGCGGTGCTACACAACAAATCATAGATGAAGCTGATCGTTCATTGCACGATGCACTATGTGTTCTTGCAGCTACGGTAAAAGAATCGCGTATTGTTTACGGTGGCGGTTGCTCTGAAGCGCTTATGGCCAATGCTGTGTTGAAAAAGGCTGCCGAAACTGCCGGAAAGGAGGCGATCGCAATGGAAGCTTTTGCAAGTAAGTAAATTCTAACCATAATTAGGCAAATAAGGTCAATAAATGCTACTCATTCTGCAGGAGCTTTACTGGCATTACCTACAGCTATTGCCGACAATGCTGGGTATGATTCAGCGCAGTTAGTGTCGGAGTTACGTGCTGGACATGCGCAAGGTAAATCTACAGCTGGTTTGGACATGGAAAAGGGTAAAGTTGGCGATATGAAAGAACTCGGTATCACAGAATCGTTTGCTGTAAAGCGACAGGTATTAATGTCTGCTGCTGAGGCAGCCGAGATGATATTACGTGTTGATGACATCATAAAATGTGCACCACGAAGACGTGTACCAGACCGAGGTTATTGTTAGATTTTAAGTTCTTATTTAATGTATTATTTTGTCAAAAAGGAAAAAAAGATGGAAAAATTCACTTAACACCCTAATGTTCTAATAAATTGGTCGCCTAACTGTATTTAACAAATGGAAATTGGAATTACCCAATTAGCCCCTTAATGGTTTTAGCTATTACTTTACAGCACGAAGTATTCAGAATAGCGTGCTAGCTCTAAGCACATTCTCATTTTAATTTACAATAAATTTGTTAATAACTTAAATCAAAATTTGTTTAAATACATTTGCATAATAACTTTATTTGAATAAAAACTTAAACCGCAAAAATACCAAAAACGGTGTCAAATGTGCTCCTTCCTGTCGAAAACATAGTCATTAATATTTGTATCCTTTTAAAATATCGTACTATCGTTCGAGCATTTTAAGTAAAATAGTTTTTGAATTCGTAGTTGCTTAATCATTTATGTATGTAGACCTTCGAAGTCGAAATAAAAACACACAAAATTTAATAAAAAAAAAACGACGGCAGCCAGCATCTGACTTAATAATGGCTTCAATAGAGCGAAGTAGTGGCTGACCAAGTATCTGAAGTTTCTGTTAACAGATTTAAGATATTACACATTCCATCTCTCCATGCTTTGGAACACAATCCAGCACAAGTGCGACAGCACGAGCCATATAAGTCATTGTACCATAACTACCACTGGGTGCACTACAACGAAATGGTAAAGAGCAATTGGGATCATTGGTTAGTTGATTCTATGATTTGATAAAAAAAAAAATTATTGCTGAACTTATCGTAGTCCAATTTTCGAGAAATCTACGAAAGAGCTATTCGGATTGAATGGTAGCATTTCCAAAGACTACGAAAAACCGGACTACTATGGATTCAGTGATATCCCTGAATATTACCTGTCATAAAGATGTTGGCAAATGTAAGCAGCACCCCCACATAGAAGCATACCAGAAGCTGCTTGTTGATCCTTGCCCTCTTTGGACTTTGCGCAGCACAACATGGCATCGCCCTGGACTTTCCGTTGATCCTCTAGGAAAAGTTGATTGGCTTTGTGTACCAAATGTTCCACATAGATTATGCCGCCCAGAGAGGGAACCATATTGTGTTCTGTCATTAGTGTAAGCACCATAAGAGCCTCAACTACCAACTGCCTATATTCGGGTTGTGGTATTTGATTCAGTGCAGTTTCAACTTCCAAAGCGAACTTCAACTCGCCTGGAGTCATTTCCTGCGTCAAACTCTGCTGTAGTATGCGACCTTCAATAGCCAACCCTTGGCACTTTTCAAGTACACTCCAAACACGAGAATAGAAATCACGTGGTACACGATTTAGGGCACCATCCAAGCGCCGGCGACGCAACCATTGACCTTGACGATCGTCGATAGTTGCAATAATCGCATCGTCGCCCTCTTGTTCGCCCAAACCAATTTGGCTTTTCTTGCTGACCCGACTTGACTTACAGCTAACGATGGAAAGATTGCCCCGTGCAACTGGGAAGAAAGAAAAAAAAACGTTTATTAAAAGGAAATAGATAAATCGGTATTATAAAGGTATGGAATGACTCACCACTGCTTACAGCAAACTCTTTTCCACTAAGTATGTGGTAGAGCAAATTCTTCATTTCAAATGGTGAAAGATTGAGTAAGTGCTCTGAAGCCGCTTCACCGTCACAGTTGAGGGTACGCGACAATTCTTTAGCCATAACTTGTATAATGAGGCCTACTCGCAGGCGCAACATTTCGTGGAAGAGTTGTGGTTCGGTGCGTATAAACATGGCAAGGTATACCATTAACTCTTGGGTAAGCATAGCGGTACTCTCATCGTCGCCATAAGTCTATGACGGAGAATTCATAGCATATATATGTATGTATGTACGTGTGTATATTTTGATACTCGGAAGACTCGTTAACTTACATCGTGAATTAGCTGGCGCAGCTCAAGTTCCGGTAAAGGTGCTGTAATCGTGTATTCATTGTTTGGTGGCATTCCTACAGTCACCTACAACGTACATTTGTACATTAGACTGTCCCAAGATCTTTAATAAATAACTATGTAATTACCTGCTTCTGGCGCACGAGTAAGTCCGTTACTGCCTTAGCTAGATCCTCCACACGTTTGCCCAACATACCGGCTGTGTGACGCACTAGGCCCCACAGCTTTTGTTGACATGCCTTTTCATAGAGGCCTTTGAGGAGATCACGCACCGTAACTACGCGGCCTTCCTCCAGCATCCCTTCGAGTGGAAGAAGTGAAGAATTAGTATTACTTGCTTCAATGATGACTGTTGGCAAGAGTTCAGTATGTCCACCTAACTCGTCCTTAGCAATGCCCTCGTCCGCATCCTCGTGCTCAATATCTATTGATACATATATTCACACAAATGCATGCATTTGCACGTACATACATATATGTACAATATATGGGCGCAGACAGACACAAAGGGACAAGGGCATTCAGACAACAGATGGTGGTTTAATTTTTACACATACGTATACATATGTACATAGCATTGTTTTTCCCAAGTAAACATACATATATGTACATACATATATGTACATATACATATGTACATACATATACATGCATACGCACAAAGTCATACACACATACATGCACGTAAAGGAGAACGCTCGCACACAGACAGGACATGTCCATTAGCAATGAATATTCAAAATTTTGGGAGTGCGGATCAAAAAAACAAAAAAATAAATTGATCGAGTGGGACATAGATCACATGCCACATGCATAAGTGGACACATTTAAGCAGAAGAGAAAAGATAGAGAAAATACATATGTTCGTAAGTATAAGATTGATTGTCTACATACATACGGAAGGTAATAAAAGTCAGTTTAGCAAAATACCCAGTAGCGAAAATGGTCACCGGTGACATCGTCACTAATGAGGATTTAGTGACATGTTGTTGTTGTTGTTGTAGCGGCTACATCAAGTTCCACTAACGGCAGCCACCGGGTCGGTCCACAGGGATAAAGCCGTTAGGGTTGTCGGGTTTTCCGGGCATGCGAAGAGATGTTTCGAGTCATGTGGGGTCTTTCCGCATGCCGGACACTCATATGGCATATCCGCATTCAGTCTACTCAGGTATGAGTTTAACCTGCTGCAGTAGCCAGAGCGAAGTTGGGCTATTGTTGTTCTTGTCTCCCGAGGCAGATGAAGCTCCGTCTCGTCTATGTCCGGAGGTGGTGTGCCTAGAACGGCATTCACAGGTCTAGAGTCTACATAACTCGAGACTGACTCCCTGTGAATGCCGTTCAGGGCCAGTCGGTAAGCTGACGGGTCCAGAGGCTGCTTGATGAACCTCTGGACTTCGTCCGTCAGTTCGTATAGATGCCTCCTGACGTGCCTAGGTGAGGGCTACTCTGCAAGCAGCTGTCTGTTCGGGTGGCCACTTCTGTGGCTCCCGATCAGAAACTGCTTGCAGAGAATTATGTTGGGCTCCTTAATTGGGAGCATTTGTGCCTCGTTGTGGAGGTGATGTTCTGGCGACATCAGGAGACATCCAGTCGCTGTCTTGAGTGCGGTGTTCTATACTGTCTGTAGCTTCGTCCACTGCGTCCTACTAGTCCCCGGCGACAACACTGGTGCCGCGTAGTTTAAAACCGGTCGGCCTATTGCCTTGTATGTTGCCAGCAAC